CAACAGCCCCTTCGCGCGTCGGATGCCTACCTGAATACTTCATGTAAGCGCCTGGGTACGAGGCAGACCAAAAAGGTGTTATTTTAACACCCATGTTCTAACTCCACAAGCAGTGCTAATTTAACACTGGGGAATACAAATTCTTAACACCAGTTATGGTGTTATTTTAACACCAAGAATTTAGCACCAGAAACCGGTGTTATTTTAACACCACCTGTCCTTAAGTGGGTGTTATTTTAACACCTCTAAAGTGGTGTTAAACAATTTGAGTGTTAAATTAACACTTCGCAAAATATTTTTATTTATGTCGTGTTAAATTAGCACCGAAAAAGGGTGCTAAAATAACACCTTTGTTTAACACCACCAGTTGGTGTTAATCTAACACCACCCGAGGTGCTATTTTAACACCCTGAAATTAACAGTGGAGTTATTTAAACAAAAGTTCAAAGTAATATTTCGACTTTATTTCAAAGTAATTGTCAAACCTAACTATTTACAAGCGTGCTGAAATTTTAATTTATAAAATAACATGTATATAACGCGTGCTCTGATTGGTCGAAACTCGAGTTAAGAAAAGCGCGCAAAATCACTCGCCTTCGCTTTTCGCAACATTCCCGCGTGTTTGGATCAGGCCATCCAAACACGGAAACCATAAAGTAATTGTATAATATTTGGTGACATTGAACTGGAAGTTATTAAGTTCTGGCTTGTTAAATTTATTTACTCTCGATTTCAATTTGCTTTTCAAAACTGGCTTCCAATGTTTACTTGGAAATTCGGTTCCGAACTGGTTTTGTTTCGAAGTTCATCCCTTTGTACACTTAGTAACCCGTTTTTATTGGCTCTTTTCCCTCTTAGAAACGAAATGGCTTATAATATATTCTTGTATATAGATTATAGGCTTTCCCACATTCGGCTGATTTCATCATCTTCTTGTTTGGCAGTTGTATATTTTTCCCTATTCCTTGAAATAGAGCCGCAAACGTCGGCATGCTAATGAAATTCGTTAGTTTTCAAAGAAAAATATTTGTGATTTGACAATAATTCGTCAAAGGTCATTAGTATATAGTCGAAAAAGCGGCAATAGCCAACTAAGTTTTGTTTATTGCATGTGAAATAACACCAATCTACCAGTATGTTGGAAGAAATAACTGAAATGTTTTTGTCATTATTTTCGCTTTTCTGGAGCGATACACCACGCGTATCTTTTCGAGAACAAATTCACTTTGACTCGGAAGAAGGAGGGGTAGATGATGGTAGATGGCAACCGTATATCAATGAAGAATACGAGAACTTTCATACCGACGATCAGTTAAACTCATTGTTGGTTAACGAAATATTAACAGATTATACAAAGCTTCAAGGTGCTTGGTCTAGGCGGAGGAGTTATTGGGAGTCGATTCGGAGAAGTTTATGGACAACTCTGAGTATTACGTGCGCTATATTCGTACCAACAGCTTTGATAATGGCGTTTCTTTATGTTGATTTAAACACAACTGATCTTTGTTTGGAATGGCAGTATCACAATAACACTTTACCATTTTCTGTAAAACGACTTCGTGTCATCGGTGACAGTGTTGAAGCGGTGATAACCAATCTTTGGTTTCCGTTGACAATGGTAGTTGTATTTGGATGGAAAGAGTTTAAACCGAGGTTTTTTTCCACTTTTTACGTCGCTTTTATATTTGGAGAAATGACAGTAATTTATTACTTATTTTTGCTAGTATTTGGTGTTTACGATACGCACATGTATTACAGATATCCTGCAAATGTGTTGTTTTTTTGTGGCATAATCTGCTGTAGCATTCTAATGCTTCGCAATATTCGAGCGAGCGATTCTACATTGTCTTATTCTAACTGTCGTATTTTGGCTTTAGTTTCAGCAGAGCTTGTCGCATCTTCCATACTGGCATTTATCTACAGATACTTTATAGTGCCTTTTTTTAATAGCATAAAACAAGAAAATTACAAATTCATGGTGGCTGCGATCGCACCGGCACTGACCATTATCCCGGCAGTGATTTGTAAAGACATAGCGTTGAGACGAAGTTCCGAGGTTGTAGACCCCGGCCGGAGTTTTGTCCTAGTATACTTTATCCGCGGTGGTGTCATACTCTTATACCGCACAATGCAAGCAGATTTGAAAAGCATTTGGCTCTTTATTGGGCTATCTCTGTTCTCTGGTATTCTAAACTTTTTGGATAAGGCGACCCATCGAATACAGATAAAATTGTGGAGATGCATTATCTCACTTTTGAAGAAAACTGTTTGCTGTAAAGGGCTTAATGAATTGCCTCGCAATACACCGCATTATAGACGGTTAAAAGCTGACTTAGAAATTCAAGATATGCTTTTTGAATACAGTACACTTGTTTTAAGCCAAGGTTACTTCGTGTTGTACTTTGTAGAAAGTTTTAAACTTTCGGTGTCGTCTTTCTGTTTGGAATCGCTGAAAAGAGTTGCAATTGGCATTGGAATCGACTTCTTTTTCAATTGCCTTTCAAATTTTGTGCAAATCCATTACTACAATATTCCAGTTGGGCGCGTTTGGACGAAGTACTGGAAACGACACATGTTGGCTAACTTTATCATCGTCATTGTGATAGTGTCATACTTCAGCCCCGTCCTTCTTTCGGTTTTTCAAGCGCGGGAGACTGGGACAAGTACCAGACAGTATATAGTCAGAAATTGTACGTTTTTCTAGTCTGTCTGGTTGGCCTTGTTATATTTAATTTAAAAATTAATTACAATGTGTTTGATTTTGCCACCAAACACAAGGTCAATTCTTATAGTGAACAATTTAGCCGCGCACAACACCGCGCTCAAACGTCAAAGCGCATATGCGAGTTTAGAGAAATGGCGGGAAAAATGTCTACCAAAATATTAGGAGTAAATACGGGAAAAGAAAAGCGTTTACTATAAGAAAACGGCTGAAACTATAAGGTAGGGAATTCCGACGCTTCTCCTTGTGTCAAGACGAAGTTAAACAGTACTTTAAACACTCGTAATTTTCTTTAAACTTTTTGCTAGAGCTGCGTGAAGACAATAGTCGATACTACGCGCGGACGTTTGATCGCGGTAGTCTCTGGGTATTGCCACGGCCCACGCACTACGCTGTCCCTTTTGGTGAACAGGGGCGGCGCTAGAGGGGGGGGGGGGCTGTTCCACCCTCCTAGACATCGGGTAGTCGGCAAATGTTGACTGATCCGAATCGGCCGAAACATGAATTTGGATAGGAATAAAAAATAGTAAATTATTTGAGTGATACCGATTAAAAATTAAAATGATAGCAAAATGTGGACTAGCGCCGCCCCTGTTGGTGAAGCCATACACACTGCAAAATCGCGTGTAATGTATTTAACTCATGCAGTCATGGCTTATATGCTAAACTTTGACGCAAGTTTATGCATGTACTTTAATCTTTATGTACTAGTTACAACATGAGCATGCAGCCGATCTTTATCTGATTTACAAAGGTCTACAAACTCCAGCCGAAGGCGAGAGTTTGTATATCAGATAAAGATCGGATGCGAATGTTGTAAATAGTACATAAAGTACATGCATATAAAGCTTGCGTTAAGAAACGACCCATCTCATGAGTTCATTGGTGAGAAGTAATTTTAAAAACAA